TATATAGAAAGAACTTCTAAGAGTGGTGTTTTGAATTTCCATTTTTGTTACATGTGACTGGAGGTGTCAGGAAAAGTGAGTGTACTCTCTTGAATTTACCGAAGGAACATTTGCTTTCTTGAAGCTTGCACAGGTGGCTAACTGATACCAAAGGTTTCTGCAACACTGCCTACAAGTTGCCAGAAGGTCAGTGTGAAAATATATCACAACCCAACTCCATAGCAAAGAACAGTTATTGTTACCAGGATTTATTAATTCCTGTCCTCCTATCAAGTACCTGTCAAGCACTTCTGTGGGTAGTCCACAGGAAGCAGTTCCAGTCATAGCACCTTCAAAATGTTTATTATCAGAAAGCATTTTTTTTTCATTGTTTGAACATTATTCATTTTAAGTATTGCAAGAAGAGTGGAATACAGTGCATGAAATAGTCCATTATTGTGCAGTTTAAGTTTACCTGTAAGAGGAATCTAAATTATTTAAAATGTTTGTCTCCAATACATCACTGCTGTTGATACTATGAAGAAGGCTTTAGTCATCATAAGCAGTTAGGAATGAATATCACTGAAAAATAGCTTAATTAAATAATTTTGAGTATGCTTTGTGTATTGAGACTTATATAGCTTTTAAAGAAGGTTACTAGCCTAATACTTGCATCATCCTACTAATTTGTTGCTTTCTTATGTTTTGTAAATATCCATTCTCTCTCTTTTTAAAGAACAGAACTTTTCGTGGTTTCCCTTGACTGTTAATCTCCACATGCTGTTCCATGTGTAGGAAGACTTTAGGTGGTGCTTTTTTTTCTGAAATAATTATGTAAGTGAAAGAAAAAATTTAGCCTAATGGAGTACTACTATTTGTCTTCAGATTAATACTTTGGAAGACTAAAATAGATTTCAGATATGAAAATCACATTTTAATTAAGAAGATCCAATACTTAGTGCAAAATGTCCAAAATCCTCCAGATATTTTAACCCTAGTGTGTTAAATATTGTAACATTGTAGGATAACAACTAATGTTTTGGTGGAGAAGATGCTTTTGTGGATAAAGACATAAGTTCATGTCACAGGTATAACTTCATTGAACTAGAAGAGAAAAATGCAAATCATAAAAGCTTGACTCTGGATATGCATTTCTGTGCTTAAAACTATGGTACTAAGAAGCGCTACTGCCCTTTTACTAGTCAAATAATAAAATAACCCCCCATTTTGCTTTGTGTTGCAGCAAAACACGATATTCTCTATAGATGGAGTATTTTTATGTCAGTTTTAAAAATTTAGTGATTCTGTTTGACTAAAGAGTTTAATAATAGCGATGAAAATTTGAAAGACCTGTAAGACATGTACTTACTGATATAAAATGTTCTTCAGGTATTTCAGGTACTTAAAATAAGTCTAGAAGCTTGTTGTATACTTCTTCATATTTTCCTGAATCAGAGTCCCAAATGGGGAGAATTAAACCTTTTTTTTTTTTTTTTAGTACAAAATAATTATTCTGTTTTCATTCACAAGTAGCAGGTATTTGAAAAAATTCATTTTTCTGAGTTTTTATCTCCCAAGTAATTTTCTCAGATCAAAAATATATCTCACATGTAGTGTGAAGTTCATTCTGTGAAGGTTTGCAGCTACTTATAAATTTTAGTTGAATTGCTTACTGCCAAGTTGGATCTTTGTGGCAAGATAAGAGTGATTGTAACTGTGTCATCAATAATGTTAATAGTAAAAATTTAATAGTAAGAATTGGGAAGGAGTTCTGTACTCTTAAGTATTCTGATTGAAGAATAAGTATCAGACTAATTCTATTGCATTCTAATTGTTTCCAGTACAAAGGCTGTGACATTTAGCTACGCCAAAATCAGCTGCATTTTACATGGCAGTTCAACTACTTTGATTTTGCATTTACTTTTAAAAGAATATTAAAACATGTTTCCAAAATTACTGTGATTCACAGAAGTATCACTGTGAGTATTTTAGTAGGCATTAGTATGTTCATTTTGTGAAACCTCTCCCAAGAGGTTTCTTTACCTGAATAATATTTAGTTTTGTTTTGGAAAGAATCTTTAAGTCACTTTCTTACATTCGGAACAGGAAGCCATAAAACTGCCAGCTCCAAGCCAGTCAAAGAAAGAGAGAATGAGAAAAGAATCAACACCAGTAAAAACCATCTTCACTATCAAAGAACAAAAGATTCTGCAGACTATTTATCAAAGCAATAGTGTTTTGTTGTGGTGTGTTTTTTTTTCTTTTTTAATGGAATCGTTTTAGGGAATATGAGTAGAAATTGTTTGGAGAACATATCTGCTGTTGTTGTCTGATATGTTACTTCCAAGTATTTCCACCCTTCAGTGCCGAAAAGCCTGTCTTCCTCATTTTCAGGCATGCGCTGGTACTGTTGAGCGTGATGTTTCTCTATTGCTTTTTACTCTGAAGTGTATGTTTTTAAAAGTTTTAAAACTTCTAAGAAATTCTACTACATTTCTAATACCCGCCTGGGTTTTTTAAGTCTTTAGCAGTAGTTATATAAAAATGTAGTGGAAACTGATCAAAGATTACTGAAAGACAGAAATTGTGCTGTTTAGACATGATTTATTTTGAGTATTTTCTTATATTATTAACATTCCATCATACAATCTATTTTATTTCTTCCTTAATGCTTCGATGCTGACTCAAGAAATTATTTTCTTCCAAGGAAGTGGAAGTCTTGATGTTTAACAGCAAAATTTTTTCTTTAATAATGATTTTTTATCAGACTGTAGCAACAGGGTTTGAATGTAAAAAGATTTTGTGTGTAAAAGGGAGAGGAAATCCAGTGTTCCTTGTCTTTATGTTACAATTTTATTTTTAAATGTTAAAAGTATTACAGTGGACTTCTATGGACTTTTGCAGTGTACAGAAGTGTCTTAATTGCTTTTTTTTGTTACTGTTCATTGCGACTGATCAAGGACGCTCTGAAAGAGACATACTATTTCAAATATGTTTAAGTTTTTTACAGAGAGTTTTTATTAGTATGTATATGCATGTTGTTTGAAAGGGGAAAATTCTGATGGTATTTTGGGTAAAAACTATAATTAAAGACAGCTGCATAAAATTACAGTTTCTGCATTGAATTTTTTTACTTCTTTCCATTCCATCTCCCATTAGATGGCAGTGTTGTGAATATGCAGCATATTGATGTTGACATACTGAAAGGAATGCAAGCATTTTTTATGCATCTCAGATGCCTTTTCATTATGTATCTTATGAATTTCAAGAGGAGGAAGGGTGAGCGAGAAATGATGGATTGAAGTAGCAGATAAAGAAATTTGCATTCAGTGCACGGAAACCTAACTAGTAGAAAAGTTGCATTCAGTCCTTTGTGTGTTTCAGGTTTTCTATGATTAAACACCCTCCTTGTTTAAAAAAAAAAAATAGAACTAGTTGTAGTAAACCATAGAGCCAGGCTATACATTCACCAGGGTTTTCTATACATCTCTGTTTACCTAAAAGAAAATAGTGTCTCAGTTTTGCAGTGTAAGCTTTATTCAGCTGTAGCAAAGTTCTTTAAAAGTTTTTCCATTTAAGACTGTAAGTTTTAGCCAATCAATTTGCTCTTAGTCTGAAAAAATTGTGCTGACTTTGATGTGGCAAGGTTTTGGTAGTGTAGGGGTACTGCAGCAGTGGCTAATAGCAGAGCAGATCAGGAACTGTCCACACACTGGACAAAGCCAGATCTGGCTGACTCCAAAATGAACCTGCTGCTGCCTAAAGCTGAGCCTGTCAGGAACTCTGGTGGCATTCATGTGATAGCAAATGTAGAAAGAATAAAAATCACCGTGCAGCAGCTGTGAGAGAAAGGAGTGAGGAAAATGTGAAAGAAACATCCCTGCAGACACCAGAGTCAGGAGTGAAGTCTGGGAAAAACTGGCATGAGGGAAGCTAGGTTTAATTTTGCTCTCATTTCTCACTGTCTCTTATTAATTTGCAATAAATTAATGTAATTCCCTCAAGATGAGTCAAAGACGGTAATTGGTCAGTGATCTCCCTGTCCTTATCTCAGCCCATGAAATTTTTCATCTTATTGTCTCTCTCTGTCCTGGGGGACACCTAAGGAGAATTAGCAAGTTGATGAACACCTGGCAGTCAGACAGGGTTAATCCACTATGGTAGTTTATGTGCTGTAAGCATATTGATTTACTTAATGCAGTCTCTTACTTTTAAGTATTTTGAGGTATTACATACAGTAACTTTAGTCTGTAAATTGATTCAGAATCTGCAGTATTCCAAAGGAAGGCTCCTCCTTTGCATTTTCCTGACCACTGAGATTTTATTCAAATAGGTCTAAAGTATTCCACTCACCTGCATAATTTGGAAAGAAAAACAATGCAAAAATTCTTTGAGGGACTAAAGTCAGGGAACAGAGTAAAGTTGATGAAGAAAGTACTGCATGAGATTTTAGGGTGTGTATTGCACAGCAGATCAGATTACAGAGTTATAGAACATGCTTCTAGACCTTAGATGTAATGCTTCTTGCTCTCACTTCTTTTTTTCTCTTTCTAAAGAAAACTGGGCAAAACTGTAACTTGATGTGGCACTTGTATGGATTTATGTTTTAAAGAGTTCAGTGCTGGGACTGTATGTTCCTGTAAAGACCTTTGGGTCAAGTGGACACTACATGAGTTATTTTTAAAAATAGAATTGTGATGGCACTTAAGACAGATGCAGTCTCTGGATTCAACATGGTAGTTTGCTTAAAACTATAAAAAACCAGCTAATCGAGCAGAAGGAAATGCTATTAATTTCTTTTTGGTCTTAACTGTAGGAATTAATGAAACAGTGGAATCCTAATGTGACATATTGTTCAGATATTATCTTCTCTTGAATAATCCTTTCCCTCTGAAAACTGAGAAGAAGGGAAAAGGAAAATTTTGATTAAAGTAGAATTGGTTTCCACATGTGGGATTTTTAACTGCAGTTGTGGCGTATTTCTTTACATGTCACTTACAAGTTCCTGTCTTCTCTTGCAGTGCACTTGTAGGAAAGACATGGTGTCAATATCCATGGATATCTTTGTGAGGAAGTTTCAACCAGACAGGTACCAGCTGTGGAAAAAAGGCAAGGATATATTTACCATTGATCATACAAAACCAACTCCTGGATCAACACCTGAAATAAAGGCCTGGCTACAGAGAAGAAAGAAAATGCAAAACTTTCCCAAGAGGTATTAGATTTCTTTATCCTTATTGAATTGTCTTTATTATGATGTCGATTTCTTTTTGTTTCCTTTTGGCGACTTTCTTTGATGATGTCCTAGTTTTGGCCAGGACAGAGTAAATTTTCTCATGGTAGCCATGAGGGGGAGGAGCTTGGAGCCATGTGGGTGTGTCTAGGTTAGTTTTCTCTACCACCCATGTCACCACTCCAGGGCAGAAGTAAGGGATTCTCACTTCCAAGAGGAAGGGGATGTGGTGTGTGCAGAGGGCCCAGGGACCACAGTGTTCTTTGTCTCCGAAAACTGTGCGGCAACAGGTTGTGTCGGTTGGACTCCATGAGCATTTTGCATGTAATCACCCTCTTATATGCTTCTGTTATTACTATTATTGCTCTTACTGTTCATTTTCTTATTTCATTGCTTTTTCCAGTGAATTGTTATCTCAACCCATAATCTCTGTCTTTTCTGTCTCTCTCTGTCACGGGAGGGAAGGAGGGGAGGGGAGTGGCTGCATGGAGTTTATTTATCAGCTGGGCTTAAACCACAACACGTTTTCTTTGAATCCATTTACTTTAGATGAAAATTGTTTTTTCTGTTTTCTGTATTAAGATGAACTTGAGGACAAGCCAGTCTGTTTCAGAGTGACTGTGAAAAATCAATTCAACTTAGAAGTTATATATATAGCTACAGTTAATGATTACGGAGAGCATTAATGTGCATTCCAGTGTTGCATTTATAATATTTATTTAGTAAAGATTACTGGTGTTTTAGTAAAGACTTCAAGGTGTGGATGGTTGCCATTTTTTCTAGTGACCACTGCAACCAAAAGACAAGGGAGAAGTCTATAAAAAGCTGAGGTAAAGGTTAAATGGGAAAAAGTTATCATAAAGCTGTGGCAGAATCCCATCAGCTGTATGAAGTCTCTAGTAAAAGTCTTAGGCCTCGCTGCCATCTAACTTTCAGGAAATATAACTACCTATTTATCACATCTCACAAGCACTGAAGCCAAAACCTGTCCATGTCTAGCAGAAGTCAATGGCAGATCATAATCTGGCATAAGAAAGGCCTAAATCTGAGTTGTTGGTCCTGACACCACTAAGAAAATTAGGAGAATTAGAAGGTCTTTCAGCTTGTCATTGAAGCTGTAAAAGCTCTGACCTGTTAGAGCAATTTCATAACTAATTTCTTGATAAGCATTATGTTTTTGTTTGCATTGCACAAACATTTTTTGTACACTTGTGCTTTCCTGTCATACTGAACAGGATCTTTATGGATTTTCTTCTTCATTATCTGTTAAAGATCTACTTAATTTCTAGCCAAAGCTGGGCAGTTTTATTGGTATCTGCTTAACTGCATAATGCAGTTTTCTGGGTTGAAGGTAATACTGAATTTTTTAAGACCTTTTTTCTCCTTCAAATCATGTTACAGTGTAGTTGCTTTTTAAATTTGGTTTTAAAAACCAAAATTTCCTTGTTTTCTTTGTTTTTTTGAGGAAAAGGATAGGAAAATCAATTTGTTAAGAAAAGAAGCAACTCTCACTGTAGTGAAACGTTATAGCTGGGTAGGAGAGGTCTGTGAGGTGGAATCACTTCTTGAAGACAATCAGTGAAGCAGTTGAACAGCCAATTTGTTAGTGTAATAATAACTTGGACTCACAGAGAGAGTGATTCTGTTGTTTAGCCAAGTGAGTACCATTTTGTCCTGTAGTAGGTTTCCCTGTGTGTATTGTACAGTGGACATGCAAATTCCCAATTGCACTAGCAGTGATTTATTTGCTAAGTACCCTTACAGATAGCCAATTTTGACTGAAAACAAAGACTTTCTAATAATTATGTTGAAAGTTTTATCATAGGAACACATGGGCTGATTTATGCACTTAGCCCTTCCCTTTCCCCCCACAGTGAGTTGGTTCCGACCCGTATCAATAATTCAGTGAGATTTGGATCCAGGATCTCACATTAAGCTAATAAACATAAGTCCAATGCTCTTTAAATCTTTAAGTGGCTTTTACTCAGTGTGCAATGCAAAAAAGGATAAAATGTTTATTCAGCTTCATTTCTAGTGTAATGTATCACTTGAAATTGTCATAATTTTGATTATGGGAATAATACAAGTTCCAACAGAGTGAAAGTAAAAATACCTTCTATGGGAATCTTCATGAATATAGGGACAGGGAGACCTTAACTCTGGCATTTATAACTGAAATAATTTGCTACTGTATAACATCTAATGATTGCGTGTAAACAGTAAGAGTATTTTCTGTTATACTGCAATGTGAATTGATGGTCATCTCATACTTTGGCAAATTTTCTCTAAATTACTATTTTATAGAGAAGGAGATGAAAGATATACATTGATGGACATAGAATAAAATGTAAGGGGTAGCAAAATGTTTTTCTGGAGATACATACAGGCTAAGATGCAAGACCTTTGTAAAACTCCTAATTTACGTTTTATGGCTGTGTTATGAGCTTTGAAACCTGCTGTGTGATGAAGCACATTAAAATCTCCTCCTGTGTCACATAGTTGAATTTGAAACTAGATTAATCTCCTGTTATATTTATCCTGAGCACGTAAATTTCTGATGGGTTTACCGTTTCTCCTGCGAAAAGCCTTCCCTTCTACTTCTGAGGGTGCAAAAACTTACGCTGAAAATTTAATTTCAATTTTTTTTAACACAGCATTATGAGATATATTGCTTGATATTTTAGCCTTTCAAAATATTTTGGTGATCATAATTTTTAGTTTTTTCAGGTACTTGTTGTTTGTGTTCAAATGCACCTAAAATTTCCAAATAGATCTAATTTTACAGGGATATTCTGATGAGTTGGGCTTGGAAATATCGACATTGGGGCTTGGAAATATCAACGGATTTTAGTGCTGCTGAGAGTGCTTTGTCTTCATTACTTCTGTAAGGGTAGTTCTCTTTCAGGTTCAAAAGAATGATTTATTAAAAAGCTAGTTTAAGTAATAGTTACTTAGCGACTATTTTACTTGTAGATTTTAACAACTTTGCTGTAGAATGGTGATAAAAGATTAGAAGGTTAAATCCAATCAATTGTTAATCTATCACTTAATAAATTGTAATGCTATCTCAACACGAAAAGATAAAAAATTGTCAGTTTTTTACCACTTTAAGCAGGTGAAAGGGACATATATATTGGTAGATGTTTTATCTTATCTAAGACAGACTTTTAACTCTGACAGCAATATCTCCTATAACAGCTTCCAGCACCCCAGATCTCGATCTAGAAAGCTTAAAACTCCAGAGGACAAGAGAGTATCTGCTATGATGACTACTGGCTTCAAGGTCAGTGAAGAACCTGAAAAAAAAGGGAGAGTAATAAACAGAGTGCCTTCTGGGGAAGAAGAAAACAGTTGCAGAATGCAGCTGAATCAACATTTGTTGGATCGTGTTAAGGTTGCAGGTGAGATAATGATTATGTTTCACATGTTAGTTGTAGGCTGTTGATACTCTAATACCACAATACCACAAATTTGTGGATGTTACATCATAGTATTTTCCTAGAGTAGCATACTAAAATACTTATGTATAAAGTTATGCAGAGAAGATTGATATTCAGTTAGAATGAGAAAATACCTAAATTAATATTCTGGGCTGAGAGTAGTATGAAGTTGTAATTAAGTGTTTATAAAGGAGCAAAAAGAATGAGGCTTCGTAAATTCTATTTCTTTAGTGGGCTTGTATGTTTTAGAGCAAAATCTTTTTGGTATGGAAATGAGACAGAACGTCTTAAGACTGTTCAAACAGTACAGAACATGTATGCTTGCCAGTGTGCTAGATGTATTTACACCATGAACCTGCATAGTAGAAGGGGTCTTTACCTGTGCGCAAAAATTATCTTTTTTGAGACTCCAGATTTCTTTTTACATCTGTTGAGCTATCTGACAATGCAAATTATAAAGGCCTTGCAAACCCAGAGATTTTTTTTTCTCCCCCTACAACTTTTTTAATACGAATATACTTGGTTTATTCTGGACTTAATTTATTATATTTCACATTTCATTGTAGTTAAGATGTAGTTCTGCATTCCTGTTGATGAAGGCAAACTTCAATTTTAAGTTTGTAGGCAGTCCCATTTTGTTTTATATTGCTACTGAGTATTTACTTGCAAATTGCATATGCAGAATATTTCCATTACTCTGAATAATAATGATTATGTTAATACTTATTTGGAGGTAGTAATCACCATAATAGATTCACATAAAGATAACAAAGTGAGTAATGTAGTATGGAGGCTTAGAAATTCCTGTATACAAATTATTTGCTGCTCTATCAAAGCCTTTGCAGGTCTGTTCTTAAGGTCTTTGTTTTTTTTAAAGGTGCTGTGGCTTTATAGCTTGCCCCAGCTTCCAATAAAGGTTTGGAATGTTCATAACCACACAGAAAACAGTATTTAGTTGGCAGCTATTCTGTGTTGATTGGCAAGGGAAGAAAAAGTATAGAAGAGTGGAGAGCTGCCCTCTCTCCTTTGTCCTGTTAAAGGCTGATACCTGGACCTTTTTAGGAAAAAGGATGTTTTTAGATATGACAGTGGAAATTCTGGTACTCATGCTGAAGAAAGTAGTTTGTTCTGCATTATCTCTGGCCAGTATGTCCATTGTACTCAGCTGAGGAAGTATGGTTCGTACCCAGAGATTACGTTTTGATATTGGCTTTGTATTACTGAATGTTATATTCATTTGACCTGAGAAGGAAAATTTTCAGAAAAACAAGTTCAAATAATCATTGTAAAGAAGGAATGGGAAGTGATTTTAAAGAAACTGTTTTAATATCTTGAATGTGCTGCTGAATCAGAATTCACTGCAGTGTGTGCCACAGGGTTCTTCAGGAATATGTTTTTTAAGTGACTTCTCTAGCCTATTGTTCTGTCTTTCCAATGAAGCATCAGAAGATGAAAAATTTTCTTAAAGTCAAGTCCACACAATTTCACTCTTCAGCATCACTGTAATATAGAATTATACTATTTTTTTTAAAAAATAAAATTATGCTAATAGCTTTGCATTTTTAGACCAGTGCTGTTGTTTTCAAAATATTCTTGGTATCTATCTGAAATATGTTTTCATAATTATAAACCATTAACCTTTGCTTATTTTCACTTTTAAAGCAGGCATAATAGGTATAAAATGTAAGGTATAAAGTTCAATATACCAGACTTTTATATTTTTTTTCCCAATGAGTTGAAGTGCATATGGGCTGTTAGAATAAAGAAGATACATGAATATTGATTATTTTGAATGACACGAAGACCTGTTGTAATTCAAATGCAAAATACTGATTAAATGATTAAAACTACATTTCGTACTCCAAACTCAAACCATTTACATTTAATTTATTCTTTGATAAAACTTATACCCCACATTTGTGTATACCCTTCTGCCAAATGCTTTTCTGTATGATTTCTAAATGAGGAACCATGCTTTGAATTTGAATAATTTAGATTACTGTGAAATTCAGTATAGTAATGTAAAGTGGGATTTATTAATGAATCATATTCATTAAACAATCTATAGGAAACCTCACTTCAGACTCAATCTTGAGCCCTGTTCCTGTAACAAAGAAAACAAAAATGGACAATGAGGACAGGATAGATTCCAGTCATCCTTTCTTTACCTTTCTCTTTATCCTTTCAAGATTCTGTGACCAGCAAGCCTGTTTCTGATAGCTGTAGAAAAACAGAAAGTTTGAAGCCTCAGAATCAATATGTTTCTTTCATTCTATGCCATAAAGCAGAGGGACAAACTTCTGAAGCAGAAAATCCGGATAAAGAGGAAAGTGTCTCGACAGAGGATGATATCAGCAACCTAGAAAGCTGTGGAAGTAGTTTGGAACATGGAGAAGTGCCCGTTGTAAAAAACGATGAAGAAGATGGCATGGAAACATCTAGTGTATGTGAAGCAAATTACATCATAATAGTAATATATTCTTGATCTAATGAAATATGAATGAGAATTTTTCTAATGAGACCTGATATCCATATTAAAGCTCTTAAGAATATGTATGATTTTAATCAGATGATAATTTGTACATATTTTGAAGAGCTCAGGCAGTGAAGGAATTTTGATCCAAAAGCAGAATGTTTCTGGAGACTTGCTTATTGACATATTTTTCCCTGTTATTTTATACATGTAGTAATTTCACTTTGTGAATCTGAAGTGTCAGCACCTATTCTCAAGTTATATACACTTCTTGCTAATATGAGCACGGCTGTGAGCTTCAGTTACTAACTATTCTTGAATTTTGGAAATAGCTTAAAATATGTAAAGGAAACACTTGAAAGAAAATATTTCACTATTGAAAGAAATATATATTTTCAGTTTTTAAATGTCAGGTTTAAAAAATGTTTCCTCATTGGGGTACCTACAAACACGTGGCCTTTTTTCAACTCCAGGTGCCATCAGTAGCTGGTTTACTTTGGTATATTCCCACTGGCACTCAAGTGTGGACTTGTGAAAACTGCACTTCAGGAGTTTGTAGTGTTGGCCTTAGTTCTTGAAGCTTGAAAAACTTCAAGCTGAACGTGCACAGGAGTGTTTGAAGAAGGAAGGAATTCCTTTGCATACCAACTCTACATGTTAATTGCATATCAGGACTCTTGATTTCTTAGCTCTAGATTTTTACTTTTTTTTTGATTTCTGTGGAATTCTGGAGTCTTTCCCAAATGAAGTCCATCTGCTTCTGCCTCATTTTTCTAGCCACAGTTAGTGGGTGTATTGTACTTCTGGTCTGCAGAATTATTTGGCCTAATCTTCCTCTCAAACATCACCTGAGCAAAACAGGATTGATGCTCTGTAAATTAGGAAGTAAGTTATACTTGAAATGATTTGTGTTTGACAAGGATTACACTTTTAAAATTAAAAGTTATATTCTGAATTAGGGACAAATGTAGTGTTGGTACACCAAAGGTCCTGCAAGTGTCATGATAGTATTTACAGACTTGAAGTCTGTGCTTGTTTACAGAAGAATGTTTTTGTTCATCATAATTAACTTTGCAGAACTGCACACTAAATTAGTGATGTTTTTTGCTTTTCAGTCAGAGGAAGCTGCAAGAAAGAAAATATCTAAGAGTTGGCGTCATCCACTAAATAAACCCCCAGCTAGATCTCCCATGACTTTGGTTAAACAGCAAGCAACTAGTGATGAAGGTGAGTATACTGTTTAGTATGTTTTTCTGATGATAGTTTTCTGTCTTCATGAGACCATATTTATAGGCTTTTCCAAAAAACAAACAAGATTAAATAATTTTTTTGTCTGTATGGGTTGTGTAAGCATTTGGATCCATAGACATGTTATCTACATTTTTCCTGTTTTCACTCAAATTCTTCTAAAAACATTGGATGTGTCTTTGCAAAAAGGACTGAAAAATGACATACCATTTAAAAAAAGGTATTTTCCTTCTTAGAAGTCAAAGCAGTTTTGTTTAAGAACAGGATTTCAATTGTGTAAGCATAGATGAAAGTGATGTAAGAGTCCTGCGAATACAAATCTTGGGTGTAAGTCGTAGTTCCCTGTGCTGCTTTAAAGCTACCTTTTTCTTGTCTCCTTTTTGATAGACTTTGGACATTTGGGACATCTTAAGCTGTCAGTGTCTTAAAATGCTATACTTTTAATTCAAGAAAAAAGGCTCTAGGTTTTTTTGGTCTTACCAAAAGTGTTTACATCTTGTCAAGAACGTTTACATATGTCGTGATTTCCAAGCTTTTGCTTGGTCTCATATGGAAAGAATTAGCATTTATCTCCCTATAGTTTTGTGGTCACAAAACTTGCCTTTCCTTCCCCCTTTCCTTCCCCCTTGCCTTCCCCCTTGCCTTTCCCCTTGTCTTCCCCCTTGCCTTCCCCCCTTCCTCCCCCTTTTCCTTTCCCTTTTCCTTCTCTTCTCCTCCCTTCACCTCCCCTCCTTTCCCCTTTCCTTTCCTCCCCTTCCCTTTTCAAGTGTTGACCATGAAATTCCATTGTTTAATCTAATATTAAAAATTATCAGAGTTGTGTTAGGCAATAATTTTGAATGGCTTGTCCAGATCTTCACTCTAGATTGCAGATCTGTGTGTTACTGTGTGCTGCATGGTACCTTCAGGCATTTCAAGTGATAGAATGAAATAGAAACATGTCCATAAATAATGATGCTAAATGACAGTGATATATAGAACAGAGTTCTGTACAAAATAAATAAGTAAATATTTCTGCAGCCATGAAATTTAGTGCTTTGTAACTACATATCACAGTGGTCATAAACATTAAAAAAATACTTGGAACATCTCAGGTGCTCTTTTTGAGAACTTACTTGAGTTCTTTTACTTTAGAAAGGCACTGTTTTGTGCAGACAGGCTACAAAAATCTAAGAAATTTACCCAGTATAGGTATTTGCTTCTCTGAAGTAAATAGAAAAAATAGATCTGCTTTATCTAGCAAAACATATATAGCCACACAAAGTTGATGAATAAAGCTACTTTATTCTATCAAACATGATTGTGAAGCTTATTGAACTGTGTGTCAAAACTATCCATCAAAACGGAAAACAAACACATTCCTTTTTCATATCGCCTTTGCATCTTAGTTCTACAAAGCACAAAATTTTCAGTTGCTCTTCTCCAGAATCATTTCAGTTAGCAGAGCTGGAGATGATACTGTGTCTGTGACTACAGGTCCGATTCAAATATCTCTGTATACTTCAGTGTTTACTTGCACTTTGTACCCGATTTGTTTTTTCTCCCTCAATTATTACTTCTTGTTAACAGAAACTGTTTCTTACAGCTACAGATAAATTTTCTTGACTTCAGAGAGCGACAACATGCCTGTTAATTGATTCTTCTTGTAACTAATGACTATTATACTTCCAGTTATCCTCAGTTTAGGCATTGTTGAGCTGAGTGCTATAATTTCAACTGACCCCTCATCAATACATCCCCCTCCTTGTTTCAGCCCTGAAGTAATTGATTTGTGTCTTCTGTCTCACTCTCTCTTCTCAGTTTTGGAAAGCTGTATTCTCAGTTTTTATCTGAGCTGCAGTTTTGCCAGGCATGATACTTCAATTAGCTGTTAAGCATCTTTCTGAAAATTAGACACAGCTTAGACCCACGATCTGTATCACATATGAATATGTTTGGATACCTTGAGGGCTAGACAGAACGTATTTCAGAAAGTGTTATGGTAATTTACAGGATGATACTAATATTAAGATTCATCTAGTAAAGTGATTAAAGATTTAAATATGTGGTAGGTTGCAATGAAATTGCTCTTTTTTAATTAGAGATTATATTCCTTTTGCCTGCTGATGGTTTTTCAACCTTATAGTTAAAACATACTGTAAAATTCCTATTTAAACATGGATTGTGGATGATATAATCTGGCTAGATGATGATGTGATGACAGTTGTGTCTCAAGGATTCTGTTAAGATGAAGACATTTTCCATCTCATCAGTAGTTTACCAACGTCCTGGTGTATTAATTTTATGTGAAAGTAGCAGCATCCCTATACAAATATTCATATACCTTGAGATCTTTACTCTTTTCATGATGATTGCCCTCCTGGTAGATAAGGGTGTATTTTTGTCTGGAAAGAAAGAGTTCTCTTTGAATCCTTTCAAGCTGTTAAGCAGCTGTTTACTTACTGATTGAAGGAAGTAATTAAGAGTTTTATTGAACATGGCAGTTATTGGTATTTCCTAGCTGGAACTGGAATTATTATTTTCATGTGTGTGTTTCTCATTGTAATCTAGTTTATCAGCTGGCTTTTGTAACAACACCAGAAGAGAAACAACAGATTTTGGGCGCGCAGAATGTTTACGTCTAAAACAGAGATTGAAGTACTGCTGAAGGAGACTGGCAAACTGAAGCCTCATTAGCTTTCCTGACACACGCTGGCATGCGAGTTAAAGATATGTGGCCAGATGAGTGCCAGTCAAAGGAGATTTTTCTGATTTTATTCAAGATTGTATGTGTCAGGTACCAGGGAAGTAATCAGTATGAGTGTACTAGCAGCTATATTTCTCTTTATGAAGGTGCTTCATCCATATGCTGGAGTTGAGGGAAATATAATTCAGCATGCATATTTACTTAGTTCTTGTTCTCTGTGTTTTTGGAGCAAAAAGGATGCTGCTATGATTGTTTAGTCTCTTGGTAAAGTAATTTCTGAGTTGATCAGTTATTTTACAAGGAGAATTTATGTATTGATACATTAGTTTATATTTTAGTTTCTCTGCGTCCAGTAAAATCGTAACTGTAAACAAAATGAAGATGATATAGGCTAATGCTGTTACGAAAAAATAAGCAATTGCAGCTTTATATTTCATCTGCAGCGTGTATCACTTTCCACAAGTTGGATAGTCTGTAGCCATTTCTAATTCATATAATTTATATTCAAATTAATATATTTGAAGTCTTTCAGATACTAGATTTCTATTAGGAAGTTTCTGTGAATAGAGGTGATCAGAGGCTGTTAATAATTTGAAGGCAGCATTCTTTGACACTGTCAGCCATTTCAGAATCATAATTTTGCAAATAGAATGCTATCACATTCGGCAGCATGCTAACATCTTAGCAGAGACTTTCTGGATTCACTTTTAATACAGAGTCTTTTGGCAGAAATTATTTTTTTTTTGCAGGATCACTTGGACATTGGAGTTTTGTGTTTTCTTTTTTATCACTGCGTATACTGCTGTATATGTATATTTCTTCATGAAAAATAGTTGGGTTAATTGTTTATTCGTTGTCTAATGTTTGGGGTTTTTTCACTCTCCCTGAAGCCTTTCCTTATGTACGTCTGACTTCTGACTCTTCCTTCTCTCCCTTGTTATGATTGTTCTTGTGGAATTAATGCTTGAAGGACCAAGCACTGAGAAATACCATATACTGGGGAATCACTCCCAGAAAATATATCTCAGGCTGCCAGTTTAAAAAATAAGTGCAGAAGTACTGTGTGGGCTCTATGTCACACTCAACATACTAACAATTTTTACGTAACGAGCCTTGGTCTATGCTCAATGCATTATATTAACGTGTGGTAATAATATTCTGTTGTGCTTAATGCAGTTGTATTTCTGCTCACTTCAGCAATAAAAAAGCAAATTCAGCAGAAGGAGCAAACCTAGTGACTTTGGATGCACATTGATTGGTCCCAGAGATTTCTTTCCAACGGTATTTGGGCATCCAACACTAGAAACTGGTTTTAGATTCAAGTTGACTAAAATTTCCCGTTACCCTAAATAATATAGTTATAGTGTATAGACTGAATTTAGTACGGGGCTCTTTGTTTATGGTTTTTAGCATTTTAAATACGATTCAGATTTCCAAATCATTTTGCTTTCATTGCTTTGCAAGATAAAGATACGGAAAGAGAGCACTTCTTTGAATGGAAGAAGTAGCTTCTGCTATGACATGGAATAGAACCTCTATTTTTATGTTCACTGTCAGAATCCTGTGATATGTGCTTGATTTGATATTAGTTGCCAAACCATTTAAGGCTTACTCAGTGATGTCATAAATAGGTTAAGTCTGCTTAAATAGGGGAAAATTACACTTCTAGATGCATTTACGATTCTTTTATTTCAGAGCTTAAAATGCAAGATTCTACTTGAAGATTCTCACTGATAGCAAAAAGAAATGTTAACTTTTTTCCTGATGTTGCATAAGAGGTAGATAAGAATTTAACCATTTGATAGAGAATGTTTATATTTACAACATCAATATTATAATTTTCAGTATTGCTTTCCTTGCCTTCCTTCACTGTTTTAAGTGATCCATTACTCCTTCAAAATACTTGTGTGAGTATGAGTTAATCAAGCTCATAATTTGCATTTTTCATACATCATTATCATCTATCAGTGAAGAGTCCAGCACTATTTGCCACTTGTGACAGTATTGCTATGCTAGAAAAATTTATTTTCTGTCCTTTTCTCTGGTACCTGCATTGCTTCTGATTTGTTTAAATTCAGTTTTCAAGATCCAATACCATAATTAATAAAAAGTTCTAACACTTATGAAGCATTTGGGGTTCTGAAGACCTCCCTAAAAACTTTACAAAAGTGTGGTATAATCTTTAGTAGGTATTTGGGAAAGGGAGGTGTTGAAAGGTCAAATACAAGCTTTTCCTGAATGTCCACTTCTCTTGTCAACCTTGTGGGCCAGCATCTGATCTCCAGAAATGGAA